TAGAGACGTTGGTGAGCAGGTAATGCAGGAAATAAAGAGAAGTAGTGGTCGGAAGCCGAGGGAAGAATCACGTGCACGGCACTGTGGCAACTGCGGAGAGACTGGTCATAATACGCGCACCTGTAATATTATAGAGGAAGTATCTGAGGAAGAAAATTCTGAATAGCATTTTTTAATTAGAGGCGTTGTGGTAGAGTTCTTACAATTTCAATCGCGAGTGTAGAAAATTTTGGCCGGTTCGCTTGTTTGGCCGGTTCGCTATACATGCACGTTACTAAAACCCCTTACTTTATTTCTCTAGGAAAGTTTTATTTATTAAATATTATATAAATATTTTACTTACTATTTCTTCTAATTTAACTTATAGTATAGTTCTAAGAGTTAATAAAGGAATAAAATTCTTAATATTACTGTGACGGAGCTGGATTTCATTTGACAGGATTTCATTTGACAGGATTTCATTCGCTTGGCCAAGCACGTGACGAGACTTGGCATTGGAACAACTTAAATAACTTCGCTCCTTTCAGATTCTCTTCTCTCTTTAGTTTGATTTCTTCGTACCTACGGTTTTAGTTCTAGCAATTGATTCAAAAGCTGTATACACTTTATCCTTTGTTGGCATCCGTGACATTTGCATCAACACTTCGTCTAGACTCTCTATTAGAGTCAAACCAACAGTTACGGAACGGTCTTAGCCAGCCTAGACTCCTGTAATTTTACACCTGTCTCTGCTACCTGACCTTGTCTCGGTTGCCTAAGTGGATATCTAGCACTCTAGAGGCTTCCACTCGGTCAGGGTCGTCCTATAAAGACTCCCTACTTGCCCCTTAGCTAGCTTCTCACCTTATGCTTATCCTATTCCACACTGTGTCCTATTCGTCTTCTGACAATATTAGAACCCTTGTAAGAGAGCTCTAGGTCATATACTCTACGTAGGTTCCTGTAGAACGAGCGAGCGGGTGCTGTAACGAGGGACTATAATCGAGATAGAATGAAGCCTGAATAAAACGTAATTAAGAGTGCGATAGTAAGTTTAGATTTGTGAGATATTTTGGGGTATAAGGTAGGTGCATCTGGTATAGCACGTGAGGTGGATCAGAAAGGGGCCAGAGAGCACACTTCTGGAGTATTTACGCTAGGGAAGGTAATATATTTAGCTTTAATCAACTAATACTATTTTCTGGTTCTTGGTATTTTTCTACTACATCAAATATACCCTGTGCATTTACTAGTGGTTATCAGAGTTTTGTACAACTAAGATAATATAGTACTATACAAACGCTATACTAATATAGAGTAACATCGCAGGACTGCTTTTGTTTCTTAGATATCTGTGTGTTATTAAAGTGGTATCTAGGTAAAATAGTGGTTTTAGAGAATTAGCTAACTTACCTATTGATTACAATCAAATTGTAAAGTGTCTACTTGAAAACACTTCTGATCTAATATTCCTCTCTTTCCAATAGCGGAGTTTTTCCATATCAAAAAAGCAAGTTCCTCTCATTAGAGATTGGTCATCCATGTTACAAATCAAAGGGTATAATATACAGCCTGCCTTCAACCTGGTCAAAAGAAGCACCTAACAAACACAACGTAATAAAGATATTCATGTGCCAGTATTTAGGTATGAACAAGCACATTCTTTCCCCTCCCCTTGAATACTGAAATTTCCCGAAGACTTTCCGTTCGCATCCAGACAAGTTGGGATTTGTCTTCCACTCCTAGCCACCTCCTGAAATCTCACAGCATATGGCCATCCCGAAAAAGCCCCACTTCCAATATTCGTTGCGCTTGTGTTTTCTTTGCTTGTTGGATACGTCTTTGTCATTTTCGTATATAGGTAACCTTGTAAAATCGCGTTACTGAAATTGCAATTCGCAGCTATATTTTCGCTCGCTAAAGGTGTGGCTGGGGTAGTGGATTTTTGGATATTTGTTTCGAAGAATAGATGCTCATCTTGGCTACCGGAGGACTTCAATGAAAGAGAAATATTGGTAAACATGATGGAAAAATAGTTGGGCGTTGACGAGATAAGGTAATGAGAGGGTGTTTGAGAGTCGGCGGATATCACCCAATCGAATGTTGCCGCTGAATCGATTTTTGATTGGGAATAGGTAGTGTATGGGTAGCAACGCCAGGTTTCTGGGTTGGAAGTACAGTTTGTTGTGACACTTGAGAGGTACGTGTTTATCGAATATGATTCTGCCGGAAATGCGGTGGTGACTTTTGGCGGAACAACGTTCTCATCTGCATTACTACCAAAAAGTGTTAGAAAAGACTTATAAATGAAGCGAGGAAAGTCTCAACTTACGAGCCCATGCTCCTTTTTCTTAGACCGACAGCCAGTCCAACGGCAAGTCCAATAATACAGAAAGAAAGAATCCACAAGGCTATGCCACAACTTAACCAGCCTCCTCTTCTTCCAAGATACTTGTTTTTAGCAACATTTTGCCTTATCTTTGCTAACTTTTCCGATTCCTGCCCTGCTATCTAACCGTAGTCTCCTCCAGAAGATGTAGCTGTAGCATAACTGGAAGCTGACAGACCTGATTCTCTGAAATTGCTATTCGAAGGTCTCTTTGGTGATCGCGAAGGGAGTGGGGGCGGTTCTTGGATTTCACAGACCTGTTTTTCTTCGGATATTATAGGGAGATGGCTACTTAGTGGTGAGGCTTTGCAAACTGACATTCTGCTGTTACATTTAATCTTGTGGAAGAAATGGAGAGAAGCAATAAAATCAGACGAAAAGAATGAAATAATACTATGGTCAAGGCTGACTTAATGTCATGAACAGCCCTTCATCATGGCTTCGAGAAATTGATTTTGCCTCCGAAAGCCTTTGGGTTATTGGCTTCTGGGCTTAAGGATGAGGAACAAAGGCTTGGATTCTCATAGGATCGTAGATCTTTGTGGCTGGCGGGAGGGCTAGCCACCAAGCCAATATCCCGGATTTCGGAGCTAAGGGACAGGGATAACTTTCAGTGTGATAGGTTATAAAAAAAGATGCGAAATATTGGACGAATGATCTCGTGAGGGATTATCTTGGTACTACTTGATTGAGACCCTCCAAAAGATTCAGCTGGTGTAGTACTGTAGAGACAGAGATGATCACTCAACGTTAGTCCATTTTCGCGACCACTAGCCACGAGTGCATCTTCAAATTTTAAGGAGGCTGTATTATCATATATATTCCACATGGTTGTGGCGTTGAGTAGAAATGCGTGTGGCGGGAAACGGGAAATACCCGACCCACTCATTTTGGTTGTCTTACTGCAAGCGGCAGTACTCAGTTTCTCTAAGCATCCAGTTCAAGTCAATGGTAATTGCCATATTAGAGGCTTAGGGTAATATCAAATTATAGCCCACATGAATGGAGAATTGACTCAAACGGTGCAAGTGTTTAAAATACTTGGAAATGACAAAGGCTATGTGACGCCACTTTTGCAACAATCGCGTCACACCTTTCTTTTTCCTTCATTATGAACAGGTCAAGACTTCAAAAATACCATCATAACCATCACCACCGTCACAGCCCCCAGTTCAATATTCCGTATGAAATCCCAAATTGGAAATATTGAAGATGCTTCTCACTTATCACTCGTTCCATTTGAGCCATTCTGCAATTGTTCTTGCCATGGCAGCGGCTTCTCTGCGGGCTTTACCGGACCTACTTCTCCATTCTCTTTACGCAGCTCCTTCCAGGCATCAATCTCCCTCTGGTCGACGAAATTACCATGTACCCCAAGGCGTAGCTTGAAAGGCAGATGGATAGCAGCAAGCGGTCCTTTAGCAAGATTCAACGCATCGAATATCAGGATATCATTTCTTAACTCGTCCAGATGGTTCAGGAGCATAATCAGATAGCCATCTCCCTCGACATCAGTACCTTTTGGCACGAAAACCGGCTCTTGGAAAGTTGTTGTCTCGTTTGCCCAGTATGTATCCTTCGTTTTAGTGCTCCAAGAAAAGTGCCCTATGACATTGAAAAGTCCCCCAACTGGGCTTCCTATTAGCTGAGATTGTGGTTTGAGGATTGCCACATACCTGGCTTGCCACATTTTCTAAAATCAAATTCGCGTTTGGGTGGCGGCTCAATCTGTAATTGCCAGAAGTGATCGTATGGCTTAGTGACATACCTGTCATCAATTCGAGAAAATTCGCCGTTAATACCAAATACCTCAAAAGGCTGCACTCGCGTATTGGTCTTGGCTTTTGGATCAAATATCCAGCGATAAGTATCCGATTGCCGCTTACCCAGAGTTTCAGGAGAAGGCGGTTGAGGGAGTGCGCCTTCTTCTGGAAAGAACCAGAAAACGTTGTCACTCGCAACCGTAAGGTCGAAGACTATATGTCCTTCGGTGTTCTCATAACAACCTGCAACGTGTCCGTGGAAGGCTTCAAGATATTAGCTATAGATTCAAGGCTGACGATAAATGTTTAACTTACCATTCTCTCCTCTCAGCCACACAATATCCTCGGGCTTCCCACCTCTCCTTGGTACTATTCCATAAAGTTGATCCTCGCTCGGGTCCCACGCCCAATGGTTGCCCCCCTTCTTGAGACGATCGTGCGAGCATTTCAAAGGTGTCATAGGAAGAACGACATAGTTCTTGCTAATCCCGCAGTCATGGATGACTCCACAAAATGGGGCTTTGTACCATGTCTCTTCAGTTTTCTTGCCGTTTTTATCAATTGTATATACCACAATATCACAAGAGCCGTCGTTTCAATTTCCGCCTGCCTCGTATCCAAAACATACCATTTCACCAGTAATGGGGTCGAACTTTGGGTGAGCTGTAAAGGTCGGTGACTCTACTTGCCCTTCGAAATCGTACCTTCCGATTGTTTCCAAGGTTACAGGATCCATCGCATACGGAGGACCATCCTCTTTCATGGCAAGCAGCATTCCTCGCCAGAATACGACGTTGGTGTTTGATGCAGTCCTAATAACTCCTTTTACCGACTCATTGTCCGTATACAGATTTCTGTATTTTCCAAACAAACTTCTTCGGGCCGCTGTCTCCCGCTTAAATCTCTCGGTCCTAACGTAACGCTGGCGGAAATCCACGTGTCCATTCTGTAAGTAAAAAGCAGAGATGAGACCGTCTCCGTTGAAAGATATGTCATTTTCATAAATTGGCGGAAACCTGTGGTCGGGTTGTATGCGATAAAAAGTTCCGTTTATGTCTTCTGGAATCCTGCCGGTCACTTCGAGGTCAAATATGTCTCCTTCGAATCGCTGAGACCGATTAAAGCCTTGTAAAGCAACATTGTTGTCTGGATATTTTATCTGAGAGCTTGCTTTGAGGCCATCTTCATAGTTTGGTCCCTCCATGGGAACAAAAGAAGATAGATGTGCCATGTTACGACCCAAGTGCGCTACTCGGCCAGATGATTTGATTCCAAAATTGGTTGCTGAATCGGCATATAGTATCTTTTAAGCTACTTTGCTATGTCACATCTGCAGACGATTTATATTCGGTCGCTAAAGACAACTCTAGATGCCGTATGTCTGGTTGTCGCAATTGCGGGGTCAACATCAACATCATGCCGGTAGTTGGATTGAGGTTGATAATAATTACTGCATACCACAAAATGCAGTTCAATTTATCCTGGCGAGTCAAATTCAGCCATTGGGTAACATAGCAATATAGATATGCCGTGACAATGTCTCTTTGAAGTCGGTGTTCATTTTGCCCAACTTATTTGAATCAATATGCATGATAACCCCTCTGCGTCTAAATTATAACCGTGTGGGTTTAAAGGGGTGGGGCAATTGTAACAACCAAATCCTTATTTTATGGTGCAACAACAAGACCACTGACTGAGGTAGAAAAAAGCTTGTGAATTCTAACAATCTTCCAATATGGCAGACACCACCAAAGAAATCGCAGACCTTAAAGCGCTCGTGGAATCCCTCCGGAAAGAAGTCTCGAAGGTCAGCGGTAAGTTCAATAACCTAATTGATCTTTCCAAATACTAAGCCCCAAGCAAAGATGAAGCAGAAATAAAGAAACTTCATTTCAAATACGGATATTACTTAGACAAATGCCTCTACAAAGAAGTGGTTGATCTTTACTCCAATGACCCAGAAACTTTCGTCGAATTTATTGGGGGTCGCTACCGCAAAAAAGAAGGTGTAAGGCGTCTATACATTGACAGATTTGCCGCTCGTTTCGTCCAAGGACGCAATGGTCCTGTACACGGTTTCTTACTGGACCACGCTCAGATGCAAGATATTGTCGATGTATCTCCAGACGGCATCCACGCCCATGCTCGCTTTCGAGCTCTCATGAGCGCTGGCACCCATCAATCAATCGCCAAGACCCATCCTCGTGAGTTTGTCCAGTGGTGGGAAGGAGGCCTCTACGAAAATGAGTATGTCAAAGAAGACGGGGTCTGGAAAATCTGGAAATTGAGATATTTCCCCTTTTGGCACGCGGATTTCGAAAGAGGATGGAGCAAAAAAGAAGACGGAGAATTCATCCCATTTGACACGTCGACTTTTGCGCAAGGGAATATTACGGGCCCTGATGAGATTGTGGAGCAGATGATGTTGTGGCCTGACACCAGGGTAGTCCCGTTTCATTATACGCATCCAGTCACGGGGAAGCAGATTGAAGATGATGATCTGAGGGCTCCACATTGGGGGGAGAAAGTTGAGGATAGTAAGCCGGCCTTGGTTTTGAACTAAATCATTGGTACCTATGTGTTTTATCTAGATAGTACGGCATCCTGAATGTACTAAAAGGTCGAATAGAGTAGATACTAATTCGCAAATCGCAAATCGTAAACTGGCTTAGGGTTAGGGTTATATAACAGCGCTAGAATTGAAAGTAAAATTACTCGATATAAGTAAATAAGCTTAAATTTAACTCGAACGCTCCTTCAACTCTAGCTACTCCTACCCTTCAACTTCGCGTACCTAGTCATTTCTATGTATATACCCTTTTGATTACTAACTTCCTACCCTAACTATAGCCTACGCTTACTATCGTTTATACTTACTATCGTATTCTTACTATTGTATACTTATTATTACTGTCGTAAGGAATAGAGAAGAGAGAGCGAGGAAGAGCGAGGGGCGCGAAGGTAGGTAGCAAACAATTATTAGCGTAATACGTACTAGCCTAGTTGTTTTAGGAAGGTAGTATTCGGGGCTGGCGATAAGCGACGCGTATAACTAATTTATTTCCCCGCTTCTCTCTCTCTCCCTCTTCTCTAAACAACATACTAGGGTACAACCCTATACGACAGTAACGATACAACAGCGAGGGTAGGCGACAGTGAGGGTAGGGCGACAGTGAGGGTAGGGCGACAGTGAGGGTAGGGCGACAGTGAGGGTATGGCGATAGTGAGGGGCGAGTTTACATAAGCAGGCCCCCTTCTTAGGTAAGTACTTGGGTTTTAGGGGTGTGGGGGTGTGGGGGTATGGGTACTCTGTTACAGTAGTAGTAAATATATAACTTTTGCGATTTGCGATCTGCGAATTTATATTTACTCTATTCGACCTTTTAGTACATTCAGGATGCCGTAGATAGTTACTTGGTATGCTTGGTTGAATAAGGCATTTCGAATCCACAATTCCAAAAGTTATTTCCCTACATACGATTATCACATCCAAGAAGCAGCTTTATTGGGACGCAATGTTGTGTGAAACAAAGTGGGTGTTGGTCTAAATTTTAGGGGTCAGCACAACTTCTTTCTTCCTTGATGTCTGGTAACTAGAGAATCCAACACCTCTCTCGTTGTTTTTAGCGCATACCTTGCGGGAAAGACTGAATACTCCATTTGCATCAGATAAGATCTTATGCGAAAGGAGTTTGTGTTGGTCTAGAGGTCAGGGGTCAGCAGGCCTTCCTTCCGTGATGTCTGGTCACTGGATATTCCCATATGTTGGAGTCTTATACCTCAATTGAAAGAGCGGATACTCCGTTTGAAAAAGCTTTTGTTCAAGAGGAAGTTGGTCTGGGTTCAAACTTTGAAGTTGAGTTGGTGTCTCTTATTCCCGTGAGGCCTGGCCAATGGATCATTATTATCCTGTATGTTGGTGTTGTAGATCTTGAGGGCAAGAGTGGATTCTCTGTTAGGATGGTCTCTGTTTGAAAAGGAAGTTGGTGTTGGTTTGAATTTTGAAGGTGAGGAAGCGTGTCTTTATTCAGTGACGTTTAGTCACTAGATTATCATTATCCAACACGTTGGTGTCGTATATCCTGATTGAAAGAGTGAATACTATTTTTAAGTTAGAGGAGATATCTTGCTCAGTAGGAAGTTGGTGCTAGTCCAGACTTCAAAGGTGATGAGACGTAGTTTTGTGTTTAATGTCTGACATATACTCAATATTAGGGTCCCACATCTTAATAAAGAGAATGGATACCCTGTTAGGATACGATCTTGTGCGAAAGGAAGTTAGTGTTGGTTCAGACTTTGAAGGTGAGTTGGCGTCTCTCTCCCTGGGTACTTCGTAAGTGGATATTCCTCCACGGCGACGTTGCTGTGAGGCTCATGTGAGCCATGATATCAACCAAATAGCACAATTCTTACTAGCACGATTCCATTGAAATCAGATCCTCAAAGTTGGGACAAAGCGAGAAGGGCACATAGTGTTGTTCAGATCCAATTCTCAAAATTGGAACAAAGCGAGGAGGCACTGACAACTACATGAGTTGAGATATCAAGGTTGCTGTCATTAGCACCAACATTCCTGAGATTCAACCTCTGCTGTGACTGGAGCGATGGAGAAATAAAATTATGTTCTTTCTTCACGAGATCTTGTGTAACTGGAGCTGAAATTAGTCATGGGGTGGTACTGGGTACAGGGGTTGGTTCGCCAACAGCTGATGATGAATTTGTCTATTGTCTGGCCTATCCCTTACTCCGTAACTGCATTCTACCCGTAGGCAGAACGTCCTAGCTGGGTTTGGCTCAGGCCATCTCGCCTATCAAAGTGAACCAAACCAGTAAATTTCCTACCGACCAAACCCAATCAAGAAATTTTAGCTACTTGCAGAGTGCAATTACGGAGTAAGGGATAGTTTATAGGTTAGTCCTCCAACAACAACAGTATTAGTGATTTATACATCAAGACTTCGAGTAGAAAGCAAATCTAAGAGACCAGTCATGATACTAAGATTGTAACAAAGAATGTATTTACTATAAACTATAAAATGATGAGAGGTCAAACCGAAGTAAGTCTTTTCGGATCATTAACACCGCAGGCATACCCAACATACAGAATCATACGATCAACCTTGACTTGCCGGAAAGCTCGAAGAACCATGGCTGCCCCTCATCCAAATCCACCGGGAAATGCTTTGGTGATAGATGATCTCGCGTTTATGCAGGCCATTCTCCAATATCACAACATCTTGGGAGCATTGGACTGGCAAACTGGCAAGAAGTTCTGGGACAACGACAACAACTTCACTAGTTACCTCAGTGACACTCCGAATAACGACCACTTGTTGAATTGCGCGGTGAGAGAGTATAATAAACATCTTGTGGAGTGGAATAAACAAAAGCTTCACGAAGGGTATTCAGTCGCAGAAATACGAAAGTTTGCAGGTGTCAAAATGTCCATCGAAGCGCGTGATATTAGGGCGCTCTTTAAATTCATCCCAGATATGAAGATAACTACTTCTGGGTACGCGGTGAAGATGACGGCATTCGTATTTATGATCAACTTGTGCAACCTCTAATTGACGAACATGAAAGGGCAAAAGAGGCGGGAAGAGAAGGATTAATTTAGTAAAGAAGAAGCAAGAAAAGAAGCGGCGGAATGATCAGGTTTATTTTGAGTTTTGTTTTATTCTGTCGCTACCTTTCCAACTGAATGGCCATTAGTTTAGTGTTTGTTTATCTTACGTACTGTTTAAACTCACTTGTACTTACACACTCAATTACTAAGACACTTTTCTCAAGTTTATCTAAGCATAGTAGGGGGCAGGACGGACTATGTCTGTTCTTTAACTACTTAAATTCCAGACAGACTTCATCTGTTTTTTTAAAAGCATAAACCTATCCCTTCTAGACGGTATATATACGATAAAAAACGTATACTCGAGAGTAGATAAAGTAGATATAATAACTAGGGAGGTTTAAAGCTTAAATACTTAGAAACTCTACCTAGTTAGCTAGACGGCTTTACTTTATTAAGCATATATTATAGAAGTATATACCTTTACTCTACTTCTAGGTATACGTTTTTATTACATATATACCGTCTAGGAGGGATTTAAAAAGTAGAAAAATTATTCCCGCCTCTGTAACGAATACTCAAACTGGCTAACTAAACTTGGCTGGGTGTTCGCTGGTTGGTATGCTATGATAAGAAGAAGACTATCGGGTTGTTCACTTGGAAGTGAACTCGTTACTTGTATCAAAGATGTCAAACTAATATGATAAGATTGATAACTAAGTTGAGCACGAAGCTCCTATCTAATGGCAGACGTGCCAGTCTTATATAGAACCTTCGTGTTCCTGAAGTCGACAATGTCGACTGTCGACATAGTCGATAATCGACTTCTCGACCAGGCGAGAAGTCGACCTGCATATATCACGTGACTTATATACAAAGAAATTCCTGGATCGCTTAACTAACAGAGAAT